ATGAGACACGTTTGCAAGAGCCAAGGCTTGGAAACCCCAGAGTGTGCATTACGATAACTGCTGGAGTCTGATCAACTAAAACCGCATAGCTTGCCATTGATATTGCTGTCTGGCAAACTTTCCTGCTCCTTGTCCAGCCAGGACCACCCTACCCATTAGAGTTTTGGCTTGTAGGGTTAACAGGAGCTGAATGCAATGACTCCCTGTTCCTAGTGGCTGGTCTGCCCTTCCAGGTTCTGCCGATGAGCCAGGCCGGGCTGAGCTGTCATCAGCAGTGCCCTGGAACACTGCAGGCCTACAGCACCTTCCAAGTTGGGAGGACGTCCCAAGGCGCTGGGCAATGAGGGGTTTTCACCCGAGCTGCGGGTTGGGATCAGAGAGGGTGGAGGTCGAAAAGGTAGGACTTGATTCTATAACAATCTTTTTCAAATTTTTCTTTTTCATCTTGGATTGACGCCATCGCGATTCCTCCCCACCCCCACCTTCCGGTTGTCTCTAACTTTTAAGACAAAGACCGTTTGGAAGCTGAGGCCCCGAGGTTTGTGCGATCTTCTGCCCTGCCAGGAAGTTAAACAACCGTCATCGGAAATAGTTAAACAAAATGTCATCGAACAATTTGCCAACATCTGCCGTGCGCAACTGGCTGCCGTGTTTTGCTCACAGTCACTACACTTTACACTATATCCTGCAAAGCACTTTGAGACGTCTCGACGACGTGATAAGGCGCTAAGTCCAATGCAAGGATTATTATTTAGTCGGCCAGATATCTCAAGTCTGTGCCTTCCACTCCCCACCCCGTCTCCCTCCAAATTTTCAACCCCAGAGGTTAACAGCACATCACAACGTTCCATTGTCTGTTGGAAAATAGTCCAAACCTGCTCCGAGAGAAGCCTCTTTCATCTCCCCGTGTTTACATACTTCCTCCCATCCTCTGGGATTTGCTTTATCCATGGAATATTCATCCCCTCAGCAACCCGGTAATTTTGCCCACATTTATTTTTATTTACGCTCGGCCCATTGTCTGTTTCGACTTAATTCCTAAGGAGTTTGCCGAGTGAAGGGAATGGCTGGAAAAATGTGGTTAGAGGAGATTGCCGAGGCAGGTTGGGGGTGAGGCCGTAAGGGTTTTGGGAATGAGGATGAGAATCTTCAACTTGATTCGCAAGAGGATTGGGGGCCATTGGAGTCGAGTTGAGGGGATGGGGGTGATAGGCTCATGGAGGCTGTTGCGGGAAGTGAAACAAACTGCAGAATTCAAATAGTCTGCGGTTTGTGTAGGGAGCACTGAAAGAGTTAGTTTAGTGACAGGAGCGGACATTTTTGTCCTGAGACGAGGTCAGGAACCCACGATTGACATTAACATTTTCAGCGCCTTCGGAAGTCCTCCTGACATGAAAGGCACTAAGCAAATGTCATCTGTTTTTCTTGTTAAACCTATGGATGAAAGTGTGAGAGAGGGTCTTGGCAACCTGGGGGTAGGGGAGAGATAGTGACGGAGACGGGTATTGTTACAGATATCAGGTGATGCTAGGAATCCTTGGTTTGACGTTAACATTTGTTACGTACTGTGGAGTCCTATAGCATAGTGATTAGAGCGCCCGCCTCACAAGCCAGACGACCTGGGTTCAATTCCCGGGCGGAGCGAAACCTTAGGCACGTTTCCTTACTCCACACACCTCGGTTTACCTAGGAACCCGGTTCCCTACCTATCTGACCTGCCTACCCCCTACTCCACCATCTCCAATCGGTTGGCTCCGGCCTCCTAATGATCCCCCTTGCCCTCCGCTCCACCATCGGTGGCCGTGCCTTCAGCCAGTGTGCCCCGAAACTCTGGAACTCTCTCCCCTGATCCCTCCGCCTTTTCCCCTCCCTCCCCACCTTCAAATCCCACCTGAAAACCTCCCTCTTTGATCGTGCTTGCGGTCACCTCTCCCCTCCCTCTCCCGCCGGGCTCATTGTCAGACTCCGCCACTGTCAAGCGCTCTGAGACGCTATCCCGCGTGAAAGGCGCTATATAAATGCAAGTTGTTGTTAGTCGATTGGTGGATCGCTTTTCCTGGGGTAACAATCCCTTCAAAAAATAAAATAAAAAAAACAATAATAATGTCAATCCACGACTGTCTGTGGGACGCTGCTGTGCGCAATTGGCTGCCGCGTTTCGCCACAAAATACACAGTCACTACACTTTACAGTATATTCTTTGAGACGTCTCGAAGTCGTGATAAGGCGAAAGGATTATTATTCTGTGAGAGTAGCTGCCTCGAGGACTCAACACTGTACCTCTTAACGCTGTGCATCGAAACTAACGAGGCAAGAACAAGCTGGTGTGGAACCTGGAACTCCAGGCTCCTGTTCCTTGAGAAAAGGAAGGAAGCTAGAAGGGTGGAGATGTCAGAGATGAAGGCGGGCGAGGATTTTGGGGGGGCGGTAAATTAGGAGAATTTTTAGTGAATAAAAAATTATTTTTTTTAAAAAAATTTAGTGAATAACAAAAGGTTGAGATGTAAATTTAAAGAGGGCTCAAAGAAGAGAAGAGACATAAATAGCGTGAAATAAGTGAACAGAGGAAGACCATTCAACTTGTCAAACCGCCTGTACCTTGGACAAGTGGAGTCCAATAGCATATAGTGGTTAGTGTTCCCCCAGATCCCACATCTACAGATCGACTAACACCCGGGTTCCTACTTACTGCTCGGCAAACAGCGGTGTGTGTGTATGGTACGGAAACTTGACTAAGGTTTCACTCTGTCTCGCCTGGGAATCGAACTCGGGTCCTCTCGCTTGCGAGGCGAGTGCCCTAACCATTACTCTACAGGACCCTGCGACATTCCAACTATGGCCTATCCAAGTTCTCGTACTCGCTGTACATGACCTGTTAATTTCTGATCTATACTTTTGACATCTGGTTTCATTGTACGATCGTTGGTTGCGGGTCTAGGATTAGGTAGTAACATTTTGTTTTCGCACTGGATTCCTCTTGGGAATCTTGTGCTTACAGATTCTGAACTAGGTGCTGAAATCGCTGTTTATCATTCTTATTCAACTCTATATGTTAGCACGAGATGAAAGGCAGGTCTAGAGAACGAGTTCCTCACGGGGCAAGGAGACTTGAGTTACATTTATATTAGGATATTGTGGAGTCCTGTAGTTCAGTGGTTAGAGCACTCGCCTCGCAAATGTGAGGACCCGGGTTCAATTCTCGGGAAGGACGAAACCTTAGGCAAATTTCCTTACTCCACACGCCTCTGTTTACCGAGCAGTAAGTAGGAACCCGGTTGTTAGTTGATTGGCGGATCGCTTTTCCAGGGCTAATGATCCCTTCCAAAAAAAATAATAATAATTTGGTCACTTCAATCCGCAACTGTCCGTGGGACGCTGCTGTGCGCAATTGGCTGCTGTGTTTCGCCCACAAAATGTACCGTCAATTCACTTTACAGTACATGCTGTGAAGCGCTTTGAGACGTCTCAACGACGTGATAAGGTGCTATATCAAATTCAATTCAAGGATCATTATTATTATTATTATAAAAACGTGCGACTGACAGGTACTTCAAGAGGAAAAATATAATAATCATTTCACTTTACGTCCAGGTAAAAATAAATCTTAATGGCTGAAATTCCAGCTGGGTCTAGGTTCGCTGCATTCACGTAGCATTTCAAAACATTCATTGCAAGTGCCGTGGCTGAGTGGAAACAGTATAATATAGCAACATAATATAATGATCAATTTATGAATAATCCTTGCATTTGATACAGTGGTTTATTACGTCATTGAGACGTCTCAAAGCTCTTCACAAGATTCATTGTGAAGTGTAGTGACTGTGCATTTGACAGGCAAACTCAGCAGCCTGTTTGCGAATAGCAATGTCCCACACACAGCCATAGAGTGAGTGACCGATTTTATTTGGGGGATTGTCGGCCAGGACACCAAGAGAGAGAAACTCCCTTCCCTTTTGCCATGGGATCTTTAACATCCACCTGGACAGACAGACAAGACCTCAGTTCAACATCTCATCCGAAGGTCGGCACCTGCGACAATGTAGCCTTGCCCCTAAACAACAACAACAAGATTCATTTGTATTGCGCCTTTCACGTCGGGAGAACGTCCCAAGGCGCTGGACAGTCAAGGATTCAGACCTGAGCTGGGGTTTGGGATCAGGAGGGGTGGAAGACAGGGAGAGTAGGGGCAGGAGGGTGACGGAAGGTGCAGTCGAAGAGGAGAGTCTTAAAAGTGTCTCCTTGAAGGAGGCCAGGGAGGGGGAGAGGCAAAGTGACTGACGAGGGATGGAGTTTCAGAAGGTGGGGGCAGTAAGGTAAAGTAAAGAAGTCCAGTGCAGTAAAGATGTAATAATAATAATAATCCTGTAGTACTAATAATCCTAGAGTCCTGTAGCTCAGTGGTTAGAGCACTCGCTTTGCAAGTGAGAGACCTGAGTTCAATTCCAGGCAGAGGGCGAAACCTTGGGCAAGTTTCCTTACCCCACACAGAGCCTAATAATAATCTCTCCAAAACCAAAAACAATAATAAATTGGTCATTTTCAATCTACGACTGTTTGTGGGACATTGCTGTGCGCAATTGGCTGCCGCGTTCGCCCACAAATATACAGTCAATTCACTTTACAGTGTGTTCTGTGAAGCGCTTTGGGACGTCCTCCCGACGTGAAAAGCGCTATATCAAGTGCAAGGATTATTATTATTATTATTATATAATCCTTGCATTTGATATAGCTTGAACCCACATCTTATCAGGTTGTCAAGACGTCTCAAAGCGCTTCACAGAATATACTGTAAAGTGTAGTGACTGTGTATTTTGTGGGCGAAACACAGCAGCCAATTGTGCACAGCAGTGTCCCATAAAGAGTCGTGGATTGAGCGACACAAATTTTTTTTGGGGAGGGATTATTCCCGGAAAAGCAATCCGCTAATCGATTAACAACTGGGTTCCCACTTATTGCTGGGTATACAGAAGCGTGTGGAGTAAGGAAACTTGCCTAAGGTTTCGCCCTGCCCAGGAATCGAACCCAGGTCCTCTTGCTCGTAAGACAAGTGCTCTAACCACTGAGCTATAGGACTCCACAAATCATTCAGAAAGTCTCCAAAAAGGTCTAATTTCATCCATTTGAATTATCTGTTGCCTCCGATCCGGTCGGGTTTGGGGGGTGGGAGGTAGGTGGGGGGGGTGGGGGGGGTCTCAGGATCTCGAAGCGCAGAGCAGTAAAGATGTGAAGTGAAATGATTATTATACGTTTTATCAGAACCTAAACCTCAAGACAGCAGAACATGGCAGCTGCTACAATCTCCTCCTCGACATATGATACAGCCTCATCTTGGTTGGGGGGGGTTGGGGGAGAGAGACAATATGGACATTAGATGAATAATTCAACGCTGTTTAATTAAGGTTTTCAAACAACGTAATTGGCTCTGACCTAGTTAAAAACCACAATTTTCGCTCTAAGTATCAATTTCAAACCTCCCCTTTTCACCTTCCTTCCGACTATCACGTGTGCCCCCCCTCTACACCTATTGCTATGGGATTTGCAGTCAATCCCACACACGCTGTGTGTTTACATGGCGCTCCCATCAGATACACACCGGTGAGAGTTGGCTACTTTATTTGCTCCCCTTCTCATGATGCTAAATGGCAGGACAGTGGATGGCTGACTGACTCCCTTGGTGGATCACTTAATCAGTCCTTCCCTCCGGAAGGGCTCTGGGTTTTAGAATTCCCGCCTACGAGAGACACCATTAGCACAAGGGGAAGGTCTTCGCTTCAGATTCAGCCCAGACAGATGGGATAAGAATCTCCTCCCTGTTAAGGGGCCGAAAATGAAAAGAGCCACACTGTCTCAATCCTCGTCCCAATGGATGAAAAAGCCTTCCACACAAAACTGTCTTTAATTTAGTCCATGAGAGTGCTGATTCGGCACTCTCACTCTGACACGCTGAGTATGTGGCTCTTTTATCCCAGGACATGAAAATACCACTGTGTTTCGGGTTACAGGCTCAGTTAGCAACACTCTCGCCTCCAAGTCGGAAGGTTGTGAGTTCAAACCTGGCGTGAGGGCAGTCTAAGCAGTGCTGGGGGGTGTGTTGCATTTCGGGGATGCCGTCCTTTGGAATGAGACATTAAGCTGACGTCCCGTCTGCCTGTTCAGGTGACGTTAAATATCCCATGACTCTATTGGAAAAGAGAAGGGAATTTCTCTCTCCCGGTGTCCTGGCCAACAATCCCCCAAATAAAATTGGTCGCTCACTCCGTGGCTGTTTGTGTCGGACTTCGCTGTGTCCAAACTGGCTGCCGCGTTTCACCCACAAAATACACAGTCACTACGCTTTACATTATATCCTGTGAAGCGCTTTGAGACGTCTTGACAACACGATAAGGCGCAATATCAAACGCAGGGATTATTATTATCATTATTACTGGACACATATTTATCGTCATTGCCGTACTGCTCACTATCCCAGGCTAATACCTTGCTGGCGGAGCGTCGAGTTGTCGGAGGTGCTGTCCTTCGGGTGAAACGTTAAACAGAGGTCTGCTCAGGCCCACGTTAAATGTCCCGCGACACGAATCAAAAGCACTTTGCAACAATTCGACGAGATAGCTGATAAATAATAATAATCCTGACCTTTGATTGATTGCCTTTCACATTGAGACGACATCACAAAGAATTTTGAAGAGCTTTGAAGAATTTAGCGTCAAGTTCAGTGACTGTATTTCGTAGGCGAACACAGCAGCCAATTTGCAGGAATCTCCTGTAGACAGCCATGAGGTGTCAGCTTGGCTCGGTTGCTAGCGCTCTCGCCTCTGAGTCAGAAAGTTGCGGGTTCAAACCCCACTTCGGGACATTGAACTCACGTAATCGAGGCTGATGTTGGAGGTGCCGTCCTTCAGATGAGACATTAAACTGGGGACGTTAAAGATCCTGTGGCGCGATTCGAAAACAGAAGGCAGTTTCTGCCGGTGTCCTGGCAAACACTTTCCCAGATAAAAATGAATCATTCACTTCATTGCTAGTTGTGAGATATTGCTGTGCGCAAATTGGCTTTGAATTTGGCTCCAAATATGCAGGCAGTAGACTTCCCAGTAAAATCCTGTGAAGCGCTTTGAGACGTTTCGATGAGGTGATAAGATGCTGTTTCAAATGCAAGGAGTATTATCATCACTGGGTCTTGAATACACTTTCCTGGCCTTTTCCAGGGATCTCATCTGGGTTTGGTGAAAATCAAGGGAGTTTGTATCCATCATAATAATCCTTGCATTTGATACAGCGCCTTATCACGTCATTGGGACTTATCAAAGCGCTTCACAGGATAGCCTGTAAAGTGAATTGACTGTATATTTGTGGGCCAAACGCGGCAGCCAATTGCACACAGCAGCGTCCCACAGACAGTCGTGGATTGAGTGACCACATTTTTTTTAAAGGGATTATTACCTCGGGAAAGCGATCTGTCAATCGACTAACAACCAAACACTTACTGTCCATTCACCTCCTCTTAGCCCTAGAGCAACTTTTAACCACTTGTCTATCACTGGAGAATGTATTACAACAACAATAACTTGCATTTATATTAACCCTTTTAACACAAAGCAGCCCATCACTCAAATACATTCACTTCTACTCACCATCCCCCCCCCCCGGATTAGAATGTCTGAAACTTATCCCGTACTTACATAATTGAAGGCTTCCATCACTTCAAACACAGGCAGATCAAAGACAATTGAAATTAAATATTCATCAGCTCAGATGGAATTTGCATGAAGTCAAAATGTGGTAAATCCAATTCAGAGCGTGTTATTTGATCGATTTGTGTCACTCAGCGGTTAGCAGTACAAGTTAACTTTCCTGGCGAAATACGCATCATTGTGATTATAAGAGTCTAAGTGAAGTTCTGTGTAGGCGTCGAGTGTAATTTACAAAGAGGGGCAACTGATAGTTGGGAGGGAATTACAAGGCACCTATTCTCCATCAAAGAGTTTGGATCATTATATCCTTTGGGTGAGACGTTAAACCGAGGCCCCATCTGGGCCTGATCAGGTGGACGTTAAAGTTCCCATGGCACAATTCGAAAAGAGAACAGGGTTTTTCCTGATGTCCTGGACAACAATCTCCCCGCAACCCTCCTCCGCCCCATGCTCCCCTCGCGCGCCCCCACCCCCCCCCGTCCCATTAAAAATTGATAATTCGATTCATAGTTTTGTGTGGGACACTGATGTGGTGGACCATCGCTCAACGGAAATGCTGTGGGTAGGAAGATGGTGGCAATGCTCTTGCACACTTAATACTGAGCTGTGCTGCCCACCAGGAAGCTTGACCCTAGTGAGGACTCAAACCCGCACTGGTCTAGATGTTGAATGACCAACTAGTGACTCTCCTCCAGGATGGGATGGAGGGGTGGGGGGAGGGGGAATGAGGTATAAAGGGGTCTCCTTGGTGCTGACCGAAAAAGTTGCTACATTCACCCACAAAATACACAGTCACTATATTTTATAGAACAATCCTGCAAAGCGCTTTGAGGCATCCTCGCAGTATTTAAGGTGCTGTAACAAACGCAAGTTGTATGTATTTATTTATTTATTATAGCAAAATGCTCGACTGTGCCAGCTGGGCACCCGAGCTGACGGGTTGGGAGCTGAGGGGTTGGAAGGGGAAAGGTGACCGAAAGTGTGGTCAAAAAGGTGCGTTTTGGGACAGACCTTGAATGAAGGGGAGGGAGGTAGGGAGGAAGGTGAGTGACCAAGTTGATTCGGGGGATCTGTTGACACCGGGAGAGAGAAACTCCACCTGAACAGGCAGATGGGACCTCGGTTTAACATCTCATCCCAAAGGACAGCACCTCTGACAATGTAGCACTCGCCCAGCACCGTGTTGGAGTGTCAGCTTAAACATGATTCCAAGTCCCAACGTTGGGTTTGAACCCACAACCTTTCGTCTCGGAGGCAAGAGTTCGACCAACGGGCCAGGCTGACAGGCTGGGCAAGAGGGTGGCAGATGGAGTATAATGTGGGGAAGTGTGAAGCTGGGTAGAAAAAATAGAAAAGCAGATTATTTTCTAGAGGGGGAGAGACTAGATACAACAACAACAACAACAACAACAATTGTACAACAACAACAACAACAAATACAACAACACTATTGTAGATAGTGTTAGTAATCAGAGGGATTTAGGTTTCCTTGTACACCAATCACAGAAAGTTGGTTTGCGGGTACAGCAAGCAATTAGAAAGGCTAATAGCATGTTAGCGTTTATTGCAAAGGGTTAGAGTACAAGAGTAGGGAAGTCTTGCTGCAATTATTATCGAATAGCTTCCCAGGGTACTGCACTGAGAAGTGAAATTCTCAGTGTAAGTCGCTTTCGCTTTTATTTCTTCTAGGTCAGGAGTTGGTGAGACCGCACCTGGAATATTGTGTGCAGTGTTGGTCTCTTTATCTAAGGAAGGATATACTCGCCTGAGAGGGAGTGCAGTGTAGATTCACTGGGTTGGTCCATGGGATGAGGGGGTTGACCTACGAGGAGAAGTTGAGTGAACTAGGCCTATATTCTCTAGAATATAGATGAATTAGAAGTGATCTTATAGAAACCTATAAGATTCTTAAGGGTCTTGACAGGGTAGATGCCGTGAGACTGCTTCCCCTGGTTGGAGAATCTAACACTAGGGGTCATAATTTCAGGATTAAAGGTCAGCCTTTTAGAACTGAGTTGAGAAAACATTTCTTCACTCAGAGGGCAGTGATCTTATGGAATTCTCTACCCCAGAAGGCTGGGGAGGCTCAGCCATTGAACATATTCAAGACTGAGATCGATAGATTTTTAAAATATAAATGGATTAAGGGATATGGGGATAGAGCGGGTAAATGGAATTAGGTTAGAAGATCAGCCATGATCTTATTGAATGGCGGGACAGGCTTGAGGGGCCGAATGGCCTACTCCTGTTCCTATTTTTTATGTCCTTATGAAAAGTTCCAGAAAGTGGGGGCAGAATGGCTGAAAGCAGGGTTATTATAATTATCACAGCACAGGTCTGATTTTTAAATATTTAATTCCTCCTCATCTATTATAACTATTTT